AACTTGTTTCTACCTGACACTCAGATTATAGAAGGAGAAAAAAAACCCTCCCATTTCTGATATATAATCATATTGAAGGCTAATATACCCTTATGTGATTTACTTATGAAAGTGTCCACTTTCTCATTACTTTCATATATTGTTTTAGGAAGTATCCAATACATACAAGTTTCATTTACCGGTATATAATTTTTCAGGGGATCTTTTAACTGTTTTCACTCTTGTATGCTTTTCATACAAGTTTCACACAAGACAGATACAAACTTTATAAGATTTATATATATCTGTTCCATTAGCCTTATATGATTCACTATATGAGGCAAGCCAAATCTGATGCAAGTCTTTTATAAGTTTTTTCGATTTCTTTTCCATATGGGTAGTGTCAGAGCAGTCTGTTGAGTGAAGGCAGGTATCCAATGATTTCAAGCCAAAGGGTGAATGTAACAAATTCTCTTAAATTTCTTGTACCTGCTGCTCAGGTAGCGGGCCAAATGTTTACTCATTATTTTAATAAGACTTAAAACCACTGACAGACTGATCCAGCCTTAAAGTTGTTTCATTTTAAGCCTCAGAAATAAAAATTCAAGGTGCTGAAAAACACACATTCACTTTTCTCCTTATGCTGCAGAAAAGCTTGAATATTTAACCAGTGACCTTGAAATCAGTTTAAAATGCTTCATAAATTTTCTGCTGGATATTGTTACTCATATCTTTCAAGCTATTGTCTGCAAATAACATATTCAGATTTTATATAATATGCTTTTTTTTTTTGCAACATAAGGGTTTTTAAGATAATATCAGATGTGGGTGGCTGATCTCAGCAGTTCCATCTATAGAAATACTACGTCCACAGTTCACACCGACACTGCTTTTTAACTGACAGGTTTACTTTTCCATGCATGGCAACATTTTCCCACAAGAAAGAGACAAAAATGTATTAATAAAGAAGAAATTAGGGAATATACTATGAGAGTGCGTCATTAGTTCTTTAAATTGATATCTGTTCATTCAGTAAGGTTGCTTGACGTAGGGAAGTTGGTAAGGTTATAATCATAGGGTTGCAATTATTTCTGGTTTTAAAATACAGATTTTTGTGGTTCGCTTATTGCCCTACTATTAGAATTATTTGCTATGCACAGGTTGCTAAAAGAATGTTATTACACCTGCATACAGACAAAGAAACCCATGTTATCTTTTAATTTAGCAAATTACATATTTCTTTGATGTCTAAATTTAACTAAAACAATACTTGTATCCTAGTTTTTCACATGTGGAAGACGAATTTACCCATAAAACTCCAGCACTCTCCCAACACATGCTGACTGCTCCACAAAACAGTTAAACCACACCAGAATCTTCGACGTGCATGTTTTAGTAATTTAGATATTTACTGTCTCGGGCCCACGTATTGAAAATATGATCAAGCTAAGCGAAAAGAGAAAAGAAAACATCGCCCCTATACCTGGAAACATTTTTTTTTTGTCTCTAGCTGCCATTTTGACTTTTGATATTCAAGGCCAGACAAGTGGGACTCCACTATTTAGAACAGGGATATTAGACATACAGCCTGGGCCAGAACCAGGATGCCAAAGGTAATGTGTGGCCCAGTATAGACGACACGGTACTATTCAAGGAAACTGCAACTTTCTCCAGGGTAGAAGTCTAAACCATCACCAGATTTGCAGAGATGTTACAGAAAGTGTGCCAGCGGGTTTGATTTATGGCAAAGATATTAAAATTGCGCCAATTCTGCATCAGACATTCAGGCCTGTGGATATTTTTTTGTTTCTACGTAATGATTCTTATTTAGTTTTAAGATCAGAAGTTCAAGATTTAGAAGGTTTTTTGGTAACTAACATGCAGCACTAAAGATCAATACAGCTGTCAGACTGTGTGGAACTCTTTAAAAATAAAGTCAATGAAAGTGAAGACGAGCAAACACTGCCAGATAAAGCTGTCACGTCCCGGTCGCTTAGAACAGGTGCAAGGAGACGAGCTTTGAAGAACACTTGAACAGTTCTCAGTGAATATCAGGTAGCTTTTTTGTTCGGATTGCCCATCCCTATGTGCAGCGAGTGTTCTCTATTATTTTCTATTGCTATAAAAGAAATCAAGCTGCATTCAGTTTCCATGAAAACGTGTTTGCCGTAGCAGGAATGGTTCATAAGGACAATTTCTAAGAGACAGAGTTGCATGGCTTTTCATGTTGCAGCATTCTTACTGATTCTATACAAATATTGTAGATAATTATCTGATTACATGGGTGTACTTTGAAATTAATCTGTGTCGCTGCTCAGATTGTGACCTTAGCGAAAGAGCTAATTTGTCTGTGTTGTTTCTTGAAAGCTGAACACTGAGCCATCATGCCGAGGCTCGCTGATTAATTATACACGTGCTGCCTGAGGTGTGTAGGCCAGGGTGGATCCAGAAATATTTGAGCAGTAGCCACAATACTGTTTTTATGGTCCTCATCAATTTCAATCAGTACAGCTGTAATTAAACATATAATTCTGAAGGATCTGCGCCTTAATTAACCGTTATGATCTGTATAACTGCAACACTGAAAAAGATTTTAAAAAGTTAATAAGTTACTATTTTCTTATCTGAAGTTATGTCTTTGTGGTGTACTGAGCTGCTTCGGGAATGTGAGTTATCATGTAAAACAAACTTGGTCACACTGGCTTTGTGTTGGTGTGCATTCTTGGTAATTTTGTGTGTTTTAATTGTCATAAAGTAAAGCTATGTGCCAGACAGGCGTCCTTTCTTTATCAGACTCCGGTACATGTGAATGGACTCCTGTACACACTGTTTGCACTTTGGTGTGATTACACACAGACGTTTTTTCACATAACTGTAAAAATGATTTTGTTCATTACTCACCAACAGTGTCAAGTTGCCTCTATTGAGCATACAAAGGTTTATTGGGGCTCATGGAAGAGGATCTCCATTAAACGCCAAATATTGCTTAAAATTTACTACCGACCTGCCTTTCTTCTTTTTCAGTAGTAACAAGTAGTAATTAAAGTGGATTTACTAAACACTACGCCCTCAGTTCACAACTGCTGGCAAAGCAATGGCGTAAAATTCTGCATGGAAAACACAGTTGTACAAACCCCGGCACAGAAGCACAGATCCATGCTACTCCACAGCACCTTGCATTTAAATGACAGCTCATTTATACTGAAAATGGAAATAGGTTTTGTTTACATGTAGTCATCATTTATTCATGAAACACGTTAAAACATTATGGCATAAGAACCCCAGAACGAACTGACTTTATACTTTAATCATGGCACCAGTATCGGGGGAGTGATTATTCATAAAATGTATGGGTCTGTGCAAAAACCTTGAGCCACTGCTCATTTTACTTCCAAGGAGTCAGACTTGCTTGTAATTTTTAAAGTGCTCTTGAGCAATAGTTTCACACCTTCAGAAGTTCTTTCAATGTTTTTCTTTGGCTGCTTTTTCCACTTGTTTTCAGTTGGTTGTGAAACATCTGTCTCACTAAAAACACTGCATCCAGATAACCTGAATCACCTTTCTAACGTTTGCCTATACGTGGATTGTTGAACATGTATCAGGATATTAGCTGAAACCGTACGATATACAGGTACTGTGTGCAGCATGTCCTTAAAAACTTAAGGAAACGGGACAAATGGAGGACCAAGGAAGAAGAAGCCAGTCTAAAAGATCTTCCCACCGTGTCTGGAAGTCATATAGATAATAAACAAATCTAAGTCTAAAGGTATAAAAAACACTTTTTAAGTATCTATGATATGTACATGTGAGATTATAATAAACATAAACATTATTATTTGTAGAATATTAGGAAATCCAGTATACATTCACCATTTCAGGAATGAAATTGCCATACATAAAGCTATTGCAGAACCTGGACCTGATGCTGCTTTCCAGT